GACTTCGAACGGAAACTTGGTAGTCCTCCATGAACCTCCACAGTATGACTTTGCAGCTCTGATACAGGTACAACCCTGTAGAAGTATTGATCGAAAGACGACCGCTAAACATAATCGTAGCTTGGCCTTGCCAAATCAGTGCGATCTCTTGCCCAGACCTTACTAGACGAGGCCATCACCGCACAGTATTTTGCAAAATGTCCGGGATTTTGCACAATCAAGATAGGCCGGAACACCTCCGCCGAGACTTATGCCCTTCACATAGGTATACTGGCAATACTGCTAACGTAAACTCTGCCGGAGAAGCTCTGTCACATGCAATCGTGAATTGTCCATAGGTTTTGGGATACCGATGAACCAGTGCGATAAGGGCCATTGTCATGGATCATGATGCAATTGTTTATTGTCCAATGGCCGGATCAGCGATCCCATGTCATTGACCAATTCCAGTGCCAAGCTGGAAGGGGTCCAATGACGATATAGGATCCTCGGAGCTCCACCGATGACTTAAAAGTTGACTGCACTTCGAAAGTCAATTCCCAATATGTACAAAGTAGCGAGCTGAGGCCTTGCGGCAAGAAGTGTCAATTGACACAGAGACAGATATAATCATTGACAGGATCACAGCCAATTGGACGGTGGAAGCTGCAATTGACTCGTTGACAATCCAGCCCGGAGGGTTTTCTGCCAGTCAGAAACAGTACTCGTCATCGGCTATCTCCTCCTTGGTGTGGACTTACTACCGAAAAGGCAATGACGTTTGTGCTGCAATGCAGTCGCGTCCCAAGGGAAAACACGCCATGTTACCCCAAACTAGCAGTACCCATGCCAACTATCTATCCCTTCCCGGGCAAATTGACAAGGGCCTTGCAGTAGCCCCTACTGCGTAGAACCAGGTAGATCTAGACTGTTAGGAGGCTGAACAATGAGCTCACTGGGAGGTCGTGGCTTCCCTCGACAGTAATGGGATATGGATGATGACGATCCATGGCTGGGATTGGCTGGGAAGGCCCTCAATCCTGGGTCCAATCTGAGTTCCGTCCCTTGAACCACCGACATCATCACTCCCCATACTGCTATCACTGAGACACTGGATTATTAAAGCGCTCCCGTCTGTATCCTTCGTGCTCGAGTCCCTGGTCTGATCTGACAGGGAGCTCATTACTCTTCACTCGAGAATCCCATTTCCGTCCCTGATACTTGAAGGATACCAGTCAGAAGACCTGCCCTTACCACCAGGCACAACTATCACCAGATTAATAACTGTCATCATCAGCACACAACCGCCCGCCGCACATCACAGTTCACCATGGCGTCGTACACAGACAACAATCACAACGGCAACGCTGCCTATCCAGACGGCCCAAACGGCCACAACCACGATGGCACTAGCCGCGCAGAGAAGATGGATCACCGTCGGAAATCCAGCAAGTCACTGAATCAGCCGTTCCGAATGAGCCCTCACCGTAGAAGCCAGCCGTTCTCACCCTTCGCCACTCACATGATTGCCGGTCTCGCCGAGTTCGTGGGAACCTTTATGTTTCTGTTCGCGGCATATGCTGGCAACATCATGGCCGTCTCCCAGGCTGCTGCCGTGGCTTCGGGGGGGACCAACAGCGCCGAGACGGTGCTGGTCATCTCTCTCGCATATGGCATTTCCCTCCTGGTGACCGTTTGGACTTTCTACCGCATCAGTGGCGGCCTGTTCAACCCTGCAGTAAGTGACTTGTCCACCATACAAGAGGCTCTCCGCCTATGTTAATCGAGGTCTAACCACATTCATCCAACAGGTCAGCTTGGCACTCGCTCTCTGTGGAGGTATCCACTGGCATCGCGCCTTGGTCCTCTTCCCGACACAGCTCCTCGCCAGCATGGCAGCCGGCGGACTCGTCAAGGGACTGTTCCCAACACCCGTCACCATGGCCCAGACTACGCTGGCCCCGGGCGTCACCATCGCGCGTGGGCTCTTCATCGAAATGTTCCTCACGGCGCTCTTCATCTTCACCATCCTCATGCTCGCCGTTGAGAAGTCCAAGGACACTTTCATTGCTCCCTTGGGTATCGGATTGGCCTTGTTCGCCGCCGAGATCCCTGGCGTGTTCTACACCGGCGGCTCTCTGAACCCGGCTCGAAGCTTTGGCGTGGCTGTCGCGGCCAGGTCTTTCCCAGGATATCACTGGATTTACTGGGTGGGACCGCTCCTCGGTGCCCTCCTTGCATCTGCATTTTATCACCTGGTCAAGTTCCTCCGCTACGAGGACGTCAACCCAGGCCAGGATAGCAGTCGGGACAACTCTGAGGCTTAGGACGAACGGAACCGACGGCCGTCTGCTGCTGGCAACACTCCCTATCAAGGAGATGAGGTGGTTTAAAGGGTGTGTAACATGCATTGCTTTTTCAACATATTTTGGCGCACAGGCGTTATGGGGGCGGGTATGGCGTAACACAGAAGCATACAACCGCAAGGATCCCTAAGGTTCACTGATAGCGTTACAAAAGCACACTTCTTGACCCTATGATTGACTTCAGCCTCAACGTGATGATGATAACTGTCACCAAGCTAGTCCCATCGTCCAGTGAGGTTGCGCCCAGTTCTATCGTTTACTTTCGAAGTAGAACCTGATTGATACTGCCATACTTCCATGCTTGAACCAAAAGCGGTTAGCTCATACGATGTGATGATCAAACAGCCCAGAGAAAGCCTTCAAGGAGGAGGACAGTCAGAGTAAGGGCTGACTCCGGATAGTGGCAAGATATGCGAGACGGTGCCTGTATGCCAAAAGAAGCGGTGAGAGACGAATTGGACACCTTCCTTCGTCGTGAGTCATTCGTAATGGAGGTGTCTATGGTAGCGACAGAGTTTACAACTCCAAGGTTGATACCTAACCAGGAACACCGAGGTGCCTGACATGGTCGGAGATGTTAACCTCAAGCACTGCCCAAGAGTTTTGGAGGGTCAGGGGTGAGGTCAGCCTGGAGGTATTGGTGCCCCACCAATCGGTTGCTAGGCTATGACCAGAGTTTTTCCGGTGCTCCCCGCTAATGGGAATTGAGGTGTGCACAGGGCGGGCAGAGAGGGGCAATTTCGGGTTAGGAACACATTTTTCAAAAAAAACAGCTGGAGCCCCTCATTCAAAACACCCGACCCAACCTCATATCTCCATATCCCGCTTCCACAACCGTACAAACCTCACTGTTCACCATCCCCGTTTTCCCACACACGAACAGACAACCACCGTCAAAATGGGTTTCACCGATCTCGTCTCCGATGCTGGCCTTGCGGGTATGTCCGGACACTGAATAGTACACATCCCGAACCGCCTTCTAACAGCTTGTCGCAGTCCTGAACAACTGGCTCAGCACCCGGTCCTACATCGTCGGGTACGTCTCGATCTGAGCCCAACATGCATGGAAGCTCGATATCCATGGTCGCGACAATCTTTACTGACATCTCCTTCCCTCGATACAGCTACAGCCCCAGCCAGGCCGATGTTGCCTCCTTCAAGGCCCTCAGCTCCGCCCCCGACGCCTCCAAGTACCCCCACGCTGCCCGTTGGTACAAGCACATCGCCTCGTACGAGGATGAGTTCTCCACCCTCTCCGGCGATGCCTCCAAGCCCTACACAGCATATGGACCTGAGGTCGCCGAGGTCACATTGAACCCCGCCAAGGCCCCTGCCAAGGCTGAGGAGGAGGACGAGGACGTCGACCTTTTCGGTTCCGACGACGAGGAGGAGGATGCCGAGGCTGTCCGTGTCCGTGAGGAGCGCCTCGCTGAGTACCGCAAGAAGAAGGAGGGCAAGGTCAAGCCTGCTGCCAAGTCTATTGTCACCCTGGATATCAAGCCTTGGGGTATGTTGACGTCCCATTAGTAGCTGTGGCGGCCTGTTCTGTTATTCAGAGCAGGCGGGCGCGGTGATATCAGAAAGAAAGAGAGACGGCGATGCTAACCACGATGTTCTTTACAGATGATGAGACCGACATGAAGGCCCTTGAGGAGGGTGTCCGCGCCATCGAGAAGGATGGTCTCGTCTGGGGTGCCTCCAAGCTCGTCCCCGTCGGTTACGGTATTCGCAAGCTGCAGATCAACATTGTTGTTGAGGACGAGAAGGTGTCCCTGGACGCCCTCCAGGATGAGATTGCCGAGCTCGAGGACTACGTCCAGTCTTCTGACGTCGTCGCCATGCAGAAGCTTTAAGTCGGGAAAAAAAGCAGTGTGCTTGTTCCTGGCTTAGGAGAGAGGAAGGATGCGTCTTGGGACGATGTGTGCAAAGGTTATGAAACTTTAGAGCGGAAGCTAGTCAGTACCACATGTCACCTACTGACGATAGAGTCTTTAAAATTTGATGATTTATGAGGCGTCCTGGTTGCTCACACCGCTACTCTTGTCTGGTGATCATTACGTGCAGATGCGTATGCCACTATCAGTCGGCTGTCCTCGAATACTCTCACAGGTAGCGTCTAACATCTAGGTCTCTCCCTGAGCATTGGTCCCGCGGTTCGAGCAGCAACAATTAGTTGTCAACAGTCACTGCTTTTATTTGGAGCCGCAGCTTGACAATGATATCTGGAACCGACATACGTACTCCAGGTCTCTCAGTGTGACTAGAGTCACTTGCCATCATGTTGACAAAGCAAGCCTGTTTCTCGCAAATAACGAAGCTTCCATGGCCGTTCCCGTCCTGCTCCTCGGGAACTAGGTGAGGATGCCACTGAATAATGACAACAAATTCCTTCTAGGTTGGAAAACGAGAGCTTACACATTATAGTTTACTGCCATTTCGGGGCACTGGGCTATTACGTTGGGAAGTCATCATCCCAGCCCTCGATATCTCCCACCTGCACCCTTCCCTACGCCATCAGCCAACGCTCACCTCAGGTCTCCTTCCTTCCTTCCGTCCTCGCCCGCTTCCGGGCGCCTTCCCACACGCCCCCTGCTAAGCACGTTCTTAAGGGCAACAACGGAGTCCAACTCCCATCACCCACAGGAAAAAGCGAAGGCGCCGTTGGTTCAAGGGTTAGAATCCTCGTTTCCCAACATGCCTGATGGAGAAAGCGGGGGATCCGAGTTCGAGTCTCGGGCGGCGCATCTCTTTTTTTGCTTTATTAATAATCTATGAGGGAAGGCTGTGGACGTGGGATGTTTGGTATTCTTGATCACGATGAGTTGGTTGTGGGACGATCAGGGCCGTTGGTCCTCTGGTGAGGATATGTGTTTGTTCTTGTTTCTTGACATGAAGCTGGGTTATGAGTACCTAAGTAACTTGGGTATCATGTTACCCGCGCCAGATTGAGATTGGTGAAAAGGGGGAGGGGGGGTTGATCTGGCGTGAGTGGAAATGTGCTCTGGCGGTTGGTGGTCGTTTGACGACATCTTCGAGGGCAATTTGGCAACCATTACAGCTCCATCAATACTGATACAGCCTGGTTTTATTGAGCATCGATGCACTGCGATGTTCCCCTGTAACGGAAGTGGTGCAGCATAAGGTTTCGTGCCAATGTATGTATAGGAAGGTTCGAGAGAGATACCCATGCATTATGTCTAAAGCAACATCCGGAGAAGATATGCATCAGCACCAATCACACCTCATTCTCGTGAGGTACAGACTCGGTGTGTTTTATCCTTGTGGTCATCCCTGGGGTGTATAGGTTGCGCATGATTTCCAGGATGACCCAAAGCACCAGTACCAAGTCACTCAGGTCACATCAGCCAGCAATGCATCCGGATCTTCTGACCGACAGGCATGATGGCCTTAAGCTGTACCACCATCGCATGGGCGTCTTGCTCTTGCCCGTGCATGACATATCCGGCGAAAAGGAGAGAAAGCTAACTACCCGCGGGTGAAGAAGGTCTCCAGCTACGAGGCTACTGGTTACTGTTGCGAACATTGGGGCAGGATGGGAAAGGTAATCTAGTCTTGCGGACGGGAATTATCAATGTTCTACGAGGGGTGCAAGACCACTCGAATTGTGGCGACAAGTCAGGACAGAGCTAGATGGCGCCCTCACCTCCGTAGAGATCTATCTTGTCCTGACCCAGGCACGACAGTCCTAGACTCTGAGATCCTTGCGTATCGGCCGCTACTCTGTTCATATGGAGGTACATGAAGCAGTTCAAAGGAGCGCAACATCAAGTACCGTTTACCGACTGCACGGTGTGTGTTGGTTCAGGTCGCTTGGAAGTTCCGTGGGCAAAGCCGAGGACTCATGGATATACTTCTATATCTCTGTAGTCTAGCTATATTTGTACTCCTCCGAGTGGCCTCCGCCGGTAGGAGCGCAATGTTTCCGCCGACGTAGGAACCGGACTTTGCCTTGGGTATACCTTTGGCGAACGCATCAGGGTGTTCGCGTATGAGGTTGGCGAACAAACGCCGTACGACCGCTGCGTCAAGCATTGCTGTCCTCTTCTCGTTAGCGCATAGATTGTTCGCAAAGGTTGCGTAGCGCTTGGCCAAATATTCTCCGTTGAGACGAGACGAAATATGTTTCCTCCACAGAGTCGAGCGTGGGTTATGGAGGAGATCCTGGGTCCTCAAAGGTACTGGAGACAGAGATGCAGAAGGAAATGGAGCTGGAGATGGAGAATACCTGGAGAATTTTCAGTGGAGACGGAACGTGAAAAGCCTCGAGATCCCAAAGCAAGTCATTGAAGCCAAGGAAAGAACGTTGGTGATCTGGTACACACTCAAAAGTAAGAAAGATCCAATCAGATTAGATATCGTAAGAAAACGGTTCTCTCCCAAAGAATGGTTTGCTCTTTCCCGCTACGGCACCAGGTAGGTAAGGTGATCAGTGAATGCAGACACAAACCTGCATGGACCATGCGGTCTAGATTTCGTCCGCCAGAACAAGCGCCAAGACTATTCCAAGACGCTGTGGCTGATTTGCCAGGAGATAACGTTCGCGGCAACGGCCCGACAACTGGATTCGGCCATGTATCTTTGGCTTGGAGCCCACGGCCGTTCTCCGCAAAAGGCAGGTCCAAGTACTGCCAATGGTGATAACCTCACAGCCAAGAACTGGGCGCCAAGTCTCACTCAACGACCGTCCTTTTTCAGTATATCGCAGTTAGCAGGGATAATACATAGTGTGGTCACAAACTTGAAATTCTGTGTCCATGTCAGAAGCCTTTTGCGCAGCAGTATTGACAATTCTCCTGGAATCTGGCGACAATGGTATGCAGGAAGAGGCGATCAGCTGCCATCTTCAAAGTCTTGGGCATCTGTCACCACTAGCGGTGGCTGCAACAAGAGTTCATCCGTCAAGCGTGTGCACCCTTGTCATCTCACTTGTCACTGCTGGTCAACTTGCCCACATGCCGTTGTTTGGAGATATCAGAAGTCACAGCTGAGCCCTGCAGGGATTGGTGGCACACGAGGACTATGAACCAACCCTTATCAGGCAACCCGGAGGTCATCCCAGGAATATCTGCAACCCTGTCACGTTGTCGGTGAGGGGCTTGCCGTGCTTTCTCCATTGCCCCTATCATGATCTGTCTGTAGTCGTCACGTTGCATACCCCAGGTACCAATGACCTTACTATGTGGAACAGATCCAATCACTGCGACGATATCGGTGGTTCGGAGATTCGTGGAGTTTGCAGACTCGAGTACCGTTCAAATATCGCAATGACTCTTGGGCTGTCATTCACCGCAGTGAGAAGCCATTCGGTGGCTTCCCTGGGGGTCGGAACAGCATGCGACCCTGCACTTGGACGATGGGGGTTGGTGTTGCATTGCGACAAGGTGTGATAGGTCATCCTTATTTACCAGCCGATCAGGGCTTAGGCCAGTCATGCCGAGTGCAGTTAAACTCATTTCGACAGGTGGCAAGCCTGCCAAGTGAGTGCCGAGATGTAACGTACGCACTCCAGTTCGTGAGCTATGGTGAAGTTAGGTAGGTAGCTGGTAGAGGTAGATGCGCCAACAGACACACCGTGTGGGTATATTACCACTGTTTGGATGGCGGAATCGTTGGTCCAGAATGCATTAGCTGGCATCTCGGCATGTTGAGACGGGAGATATACCTCGGATATACCACCCCATCACTCCCTACCTACCTCACCTGAGCATGAAAGTCAGCTCGGGCTCGGGCTGGGTTGTTATCAAGCTAGGTTACCTCTTTAGTCGGGCAGGTTCGATGGTAAAGGGTCAAGCTATGTACTCGCCGAGTTCTATATCGTCCCTTGATTGTCGATACCCATAACCCCCTAACCGATATTCACGTAGACGATGAACGGATCTCGACTGGCTGATGAGATTTGCGTGTGCTGGGGCACGGATGATGAATTGGATGGGGTCTAGCGACGGGTACTATCTGCTTAGCTTCCTACTGCGTGATGCTATCTCGGCATGAACCCGCTAAGGATGGGACGGACTGCTTGGCGGGCTTGGCGAGCCTTGGCGGGGGTGCCATTGTAGCGCGAAATTGGCAGTTCCAAGCATTGATCCCTCCTCACCGTGGTGGCCAAGCATCTTCCCACCCCTTTGATGTTTTGGCTAATTGGCTCTGCATTTCAGAACCAACACGGCTGAGGAAACCGGTGTTCATCTACGAGATAGCTGTCCTTGGTCAGATGTCCCGGCGGAGTACCGACAAAAAATCCCACCGTGCACTTACAGGGCGCACAAGCTGGACACGCGTCAAGCTTGAATAATGTCACCTAGACTACTAGGCCTGGAGGTGACGGTACGGGGCTCACAAACTGACTGGGATTCTTTTGTAAATACTATGTATGTACGTCGGCAGTGATTATGCTAAAAGGTGTGAACTCGAACTAACGGCTAACCCACCTGCTTTGCAACTGTAACAGTACCTCTACGCATATGATATCAACTGGTCCCTTGGCGCATCAGGAGCCAGCTGTCCTGCCTGGTCTGCATCCCAGCTCGCCTTGCATCACTTACATGGACATCGCACTATGCTCGATGCAGAAGGTCTCGGGGAAAAGAGATAGATGGCTCGCCACAGCACCAGTCGGCGAGCGTATCTTGAGCAGCGGGTTTGTATGCGACCTTGTGTCGGTTACACCCCACACTCGGCCACGATACCACAATCGTGCTGCCGAAAAGGGAAGCTCGACAAGGTTCGACACGTTATTCCTGGTATGCATCATTATACCCGTTCACGATAGGGACATCGTTCCAGATTGCGCGGTAACCGGAGCTCTGTTGCGCGAGACGCCAAGCCCGAACATGGATTGAGGTCACATCACAGTTTCCCGGTCCTCTGGGATCTTCTCCTATCTGTGGCGATGGGCCAGATCAGGAGTGGCCGGCGACAATCCAGACTAACCATGGGTGCTTGCGATGAGAGTAGTATGCGGAGATCCCAGAGCGTAGTGAGGGGCGACCGGCGGGGGGGGGGAGTCGTGGTCGTACCAAACACGCATCACATATTAAACTATCGCACGACCCCCGATCAATGTTTCTGATAATGGTCCTCCATCGACTTACTTCCCCCCACATAAGTGTTCTGTGTCCGTCATCCTTCTGACGGCCAGTCTCTCACACCAACTCACAGGACGAGAGAATTGTGAGGTCAACATGTCGGACCCTGTGAACGTTGAGAAGCGCGTCCATGGCTCCTCGGGAGTTGTGGACGAAAAGACGCCATATGAGACTTATGCCAGTCGCCAGAGCACCGCCTCAGAGATACCGGCTGGCGAGGCAGTGCTTGGACAGTAGGGCTTCCTAATCTGATGTCTGGCTGGTTGGTTTCAGACTGCTAACGGGATGGTCACAGTGACTTTGTCATGACAGAGAAGGACCTCATCGAGGCCAAGGCTATTGCTGGCTCGATGAGTCTCGAGGAAGTCCGGGCCCTCATGACTAACGTCCTCACCATCCACAACAACGACCCCAACTTCCCTCATACGGTCTTGGAGAGGATCAAGGAGTTCCTGGGTGATGAGGCCATCTTCGACAATCCGGAAAAGCACGAAGACATCATATACGAGATGAAGTTGGAGGCTGCTCTCATCACAAACAACAGCCCCTACGCCGAAGTGCGCGCCGTCGTCGACAACCACGACGATCCCAACACACCCTGCTCTACCATCCGCTCCTGGGTTCTGGGGCTTGCTTTC